GCACTACAAAAAGCTCCGGTCTTAACGCCCTGACTACTGCTGTGCAGCCTTTCCTCGGGTTCGTAGAGTCGGGTTTCCCGTTTACCCACAACGGAGGAGCCGCCCCCACCAGGCAGGCGGCCACGGGTCATAACGCACTCTTCGCACAACAAATCCACTTTGAAGTTGACTTATTCGCTCGGCCAATCGTCGGAATGTGTACGAGATACCATAAGGGCCCAATATCTCAATAGCACCTTTGTCTAAAGCTTCAAATGAGACTTCATATCCGAAACGCAGGAACGATCTGACTAGAAAGTCATTCAAAACTTGATCGAAGAACCAGCGTTTATTGAAGAAGCTATAGAGCCGATTACAAAAAGTACTAGTTTGAAAGGCTCGTTGGAATTGATCCGCTACGGGATTTACATTATACGCAACAGAAGCACCTAAAGTACTAAACGGAATAGGTATTAGTTTGGTAATGGTTGGAGCAGCAAACTCGGATTCGGCAAGAATCTCATTTTTTGGTAGTACGAAGGGGGAATTGGCCCAAAAATTGGATAGGGGTCAAGACGCAGTCGGGCGCCGGCGGCTGACTCAAGTGCCCCCCGAACCGCGCGAAATGGTCGCCTATTACACGGCTCACTAACTCTGCCTGGGGTGGAGGTACCTATTATTCCTCGGCGGTCCGGTAGGAAAGAAAGCTGTAGCCAGTGACTAGCTCCGCTATAGAGCTACGTGTACACCGCCGCGTCGAGACTCTCTTTCGAAAGTGAGATCACCACTGGCTTGTTGAAGAGGGAAAGATCACTCCTAAAAGCAAGCTTTCTCTTATATACGATACCACGAGTTTGCCACAAAAGAATAGCATTTAGTTCGAGTTCTATCTATATTCTATCTCCAAATCACAGAAAAAGGAAAGAAGAGCGCTTTTGCCGATCTTTCTTATTCTTCAGCCTGAAAGGCTCTTCCCTGCCTAGCTCCCCTGAAAAAAGGAACTACCTTGCTTCGGATTCGGAAAACAGCCTCAAATTGAGCTTTTACCTCTCCAACCGCTGCCCTAACGAGTGGGAAAAGAGATCGGGGGTATCGATGTGGATGAAAGGCAGAGATGAGATCGACCTCCAGTAGGGTTGGCTTGGGGCCGTGATGCCACCGTTGCCTGTGGGGATTGGGACATCTTATTAAAGTTTATGGCGCCCGGCTAGGAATTAGTGAAGCTTTCTTCTTTCTTCTAAAAATTGGTTTAGCGCGAATAGGTAAGATGCTTGCGTCAAGCGGACCACTCCTCGCTCTTAGCCCTTCTCGGCTGATAAAATGTGAATTATCTAGTTTGGGTCCGAGCAGGCGCGAAGTCAAGGGCTTGCTTGAGGGCGTTAAGCTCCCACCCCCTTCCATGAGATAGTCAATTTTAGCATCTAGGAAGGATCATATTGAGCAAAGAAGGAACGAAGCTACGAAAGGAGTTGAGCAAGAGCTATAAGAAGAACGTTTACCTCGTCCTTCTGTAAAGGGGAAGCACAAGGCTCACAGGCAATCTCATACGTGAAGGGTTAAAAACCTCGTTTTCTATAAGCAGACTTTGAGACTATACGAACAAGAACTAGATCACACCTAGTGCTTTTGGTCGTTTTAAAAAACGAAGGAGTAGGTCGAGGAACTCTACCTTAGAAACTTACCTGCCTCCACTCAACCTTTCTACCCCAAAAATACTAATATAGGAGGATTTTTTCCTATTCAGTAGATTTAGACGAGCTAATGCTAGAAGAGAGTGCAGAAAGTTAATCCGTAGGGGAATGCGGATATAAAGAGAAATGAAGCAGCAGGGCCTGATAGAGAGACTGCCCCTGAGGCTGAGCTTAAACCTTCTGTGTCTGTATCGTCTCACTGAGCAGCAACACAATCAATTTAATACCAGTAAACGACCCAAAACCTTCCTTCCTAAAGCTATGAAATGAAGGAAGAAAACAACGGTGGTCTACGATCAGCTAGCGTGCTCATCCCTTATTATCTCCTCCTTCTGCTAATGCGAATATCCCGTTCTTGGTTCTTAAAGAGATGTCTCCTTCCTCCTACAGTTTGATTTTGTAAAATACCGGCAAGTCAGGTGTGACTCTTGTTAGAGTTCCTCCTGTTGTGATAGTCTGACTACTACTATTAGTAAGCATTCCTTCTCTACCTTTTCATAGAGAGAGAATAACCAACTTAAAGTTTTTGGTTTGACTGGTAGTGCCCGGTGATGTTCATAAAAGATCCCTGTCAGTGAAGTGGCTCTTGTTCGACAAACTCCTCTTTGTTGGTCCTGAGGATGCCAACTCGGTAAGAGATTCATTCTATGCGGGAGCCAACAGAGTCTAAAGGACCGTCCATCTAAAGGTATTTGAGGTTCGATTCTCAGAATAAGAAGGCTTCCAAGCCAGGTAGGCAGTTCTCTCTTGTTCCCTCCTCGCCGGGAGATGTTCTATTCGTATGGGGATGTCTCCACAAGTAGGGTTCATCTATCAATTGTCTCTCGAAGGGGGAGACCTCTCGCTACAGATACTGTATAACAACATCTTGAACATCCGGGAAAGCCAGAGACTGATGCTTGCTTCAAAGTCGAACAACTATGATGGCAAGACGGGAGGAGGAGATTTATACTCTTACCTCAAAAAATGGATTCGGTAGAGGATGCATCTATCAAAGGCAGCTTTTGAAGTCTTATGGTCGAAGACTTCACAACTATGTTTGTCTGACCCTCATCCCATTCTTTGCTCTCAAAGGCGGCAGGTGGCAGCAGAGAGAATCCGGCTGGCAGGAGTGGTATCAAAGACTGGTTTTTCCATATCTGTGTGTGGTCCAGGTCATGAAATATCTGGACCATTAGGGACAGGAAAATCCATTCCGTCCGGAGAGGCAGGAATCTAGAACCACTGAACTTCACTGGCCTTGACAGAGGTTTTAAGAGCTTTGGACTTCCGGGTTGAGGCACCGAACAACTTCTAGGCAGGTAGCCGTCCTTTATTGTTAGATCGAGCACCTACCAACCACAGATTGGGCGTACAAGCGTTTCAACCTATTCATTCATCCATTCCTTCTGGTGTGCCATTTCTTCACATCCAGAAGTTCGTAGGGGATCTAATGCGGAACCTTGAGGGAGATCGCTTCCTCCCTGTAAGCTCAAGCAGGAGCTCGTTCACTTCTCCTCGCCAGCTATCGCCCTCGACCCATGCTTCTTAGACTTTCGGTCAATGATCGAGTCTGTAAATAGGTCCAGCTCTAAGGGTCCCAAGAAGGGGCGGGGAAGCACGATCTGTGGAGCGCTGAGAGTTCCGGGTTCTATTAATTAATAATTAGATTGTGCCAGGTCACTGAACTTAGAGTAGGAAATTCCAGTGAAAGCTTCATCCTAAGAAGACTGAACAAGAGCAAGAACATCGGTTATTCCTATTCCGAAAAGGCTAGCTGCTGATTCAACTCAACCTCTCCTCGGCTCACTCGCGTTAGTTGAAGAAGGAAGGGGATAGTTATAGGACCTGGAACTGAGATTGGTAATTGGATTTTCTTTCCTAGGGGCAGGAGCGGTAGTTGAAGGAATGTTGCTTTGGCTTGATTGCTTTCAGTCTAGCCTAGCTAGGCTGGGGAGTCGATTAGTCCGAGTTAGGCCGAGAAGTAATAGTTTGTAATTGAAGTCAGGGCGGAATGGAGAAATTCTCTTCCCCACGGAGCGCTAAGAAGGTTTTGAAAAGGATCTCTTCGCTAAAGACTAGCTCCCTAGCTTCCTGAAAAGAGAGGATTCGGTGTCAAAGATTAGCATCCCATTCTCAACAGCAAGATAAGTGAGAGCATTTTTTGCATCTATTAAGTCAAAGCTAAGAGACAATTCGAGTTGATACAAGACCTTCGCCCTCAACTAGTCTTCTTTTTGGGAGATTAGGTGCCTAGCCTCAGATGGAGCAAAGCAGACTTCGGTAAAACAATATGATATGAGTGTTTGTTCTGCTTTCACTAAGGGGCAGACTAGCGGAATAAACGCTTAGAGGAATAAAAGCAGTGGGACTGATTACTTTACTTGAAACGGGTGGCATGTGTAACCCGTTAGAAGAGTAAGGGGCGTAGCGAGAGGACTAGTAAAGTCAAGCCTTACCTTACTGTTGCAATTTCGTGTGCATGTCTTCTTTCTTGTTCTCAGATGCTACATAAGCTTAGGGGAATGGGATAGATTGAACTATGCGGGCTGGGCATTTCCTTTCTATGATTTCACTTCTCGCTCTTTCTATTCTTTTCTTGGCCATCCCCCGCCTTCCTTCTTGCCCATGTGATCGTGTCCATGCCTTTGCTCGCGCAACTAGCCTGGGTCGTCCTTAGCGGCCTCCTCATTAATGAAGAGTGGCTAAGGCAAAAGAGAGTCTAGTATGATCGAGAATCTTTTGCTAATGCTAGCCTCTTCTTCACAAAAAAACTAGTAAAGTCAGCATTCTCACTTCTTCTATCTCCAGGCATGGTAGGAGTGCTTTATTTGATCGGCGTCCTAAAGTAAAGCTCGGCCGTAAGAGAGAGGGTTATAGAACAACTCTATTTAGAGGTAAGAAATTTTCTTAGGTCTCTTGTAAGTCTGGGAGTTCTCTTCTTAGAAGTTAGAATATGATATGGAGTGAAAGCAAGCAGCACTTCAAAGGAATTACTAGTCTTAGAATCGAGTTAGACCGAAATAAAGGTTTTATTTCTTCGAGCGATCGTGCGATACAATTATTATTATTATTATTTTTTTAAGAGTTCCGGTAATGGGGTCTGTTGATTCGGAATCACGCTCTGTAGGATTTGAACCTACGACATCGGGTTTTGGAGACCCACGTTCTACCGAACTGAACTAAGAGCGCTTTCTTATCACAGTAGATACGATTGTAAAGAAAAGGATTCTTTTTGTATTGTACCTTCACTACATCTTGCATGCATATAGTATCATTCAATTCAAAATTTTGCATGTCCAATTTGAATCGATCTTAATGGATCCCTCGTTACTGCCCAGAGGAGAAGGT